CCAAACATTGAACATTCGTTTTGATAATTATTACATGGTCTATTGAACATTTAGCAATGGAGGAATAACATGCACAATGTGCAAATAGAGCATAATTCTCTATCCTGCCTATTCATCTGTCCTATTTTTCTACCGTGTATAATGAACCATGGTCGGTGAGGCGGCGATTAACTCATGGTGGGAGGCCTGAGACGTTCGCTGCGGCCCCCACCACTTTTCAAGCTGCGCGAAAGGCTCCTAGTCATTCGGGAACTCAAGTATAGATTGTCATTGATTTAATTATCCTCTATATTTAATGTATTAGGTCCGTACATAGATTTCTCAACAGCGTTCCCTTATGGATCCTTCACATTACAGTAACGTAACGTACCGTAAGAAAAATCATATTTGGTTTCCGGCAAAATTTTGGATTTGAAAGATGCCTTCGCCGTAAGAAGCAGTACCATAGCAGAACGTTGAAAGAATAGGGAAACCTTAAACCAAAGAAGAGCCTTAAAGGGATCTGGCGACTTCTTCCACAAACCAACGCTAAAGTATGGGTCCCCCATTCGCTGTGCAGCTTCGAATAGCTGCTAGACTTTTTTACTGCCGACACTATAACATTCAGGTCAATTCGTACGTAACTTTGAAACATCATGAGCCGGGATGTTTTCCCATTAGAGTCACCGTAAAATATCTCAGATACAGCAATACATACTGATGTTTAACAATTTTATTTGATAACTAACTATTACAGTTAGCGACAATGATTCGCTGACAGTTAAAAGCCTTTTGTGGTCCCCGTGCTTGGGTTTCCCTATACCTTCAACTTTCTGCTATGATACTGTTTCTTATGACGGAGGCATCTTCCGAGCTCAAAATTTCGCCAGAAACTACGTTAGATTTTTCTTACGGTACGTTACGTTACAGTAATATGAAAGGTCCACTAATCGACTTCTTAACACACATACAGCTGACACATGCGACGCCGGAACGCTACTTTGCCCTCTCACATCCCACATTTGTACCACCTATTCTAACGAAACAGATTGAAAAATATTAACTGTGCTTTAAGCTACTCGATATAAACTAATGATTTGATTAAAATTTATAGATTATTCCAATTGATATACCGGATGTGCATCAAACATGTCTCAACATAAAATTTTATCGACATCTTGACAAGGCGTATACAGACAGTTAATGACAACTCTCGCTGAGGGGAATCTAAATGCAGGGAAAGAATTTTTGCCAAATCATAGGCCATATTTGATACAGAATTAGAAACTAGGATATTGCTTGGTATGTCATGCTCTTATAAAGAAACGTATAGAGACTGTTAAGCTACTTTTAATAAACCTCATGAAAATCTATAGACGAGAACGATTATCTATCGAAGAAGTACTTCTCTTTGCTTGCAGAAGAGGTAACACACAAATTATTCTTGCATACCAAGTATTTACATAGCTTGTATTTCTAAGTGTTTACGTAGATGCTTCAGACAAATTCGGTCGCATTGCCCTTCAAAATGCAGTCATGAAGAACGACTTAAAAATCATTCAGTTATAACACGTACGGAGCTAGCGTTGATGCTAAATACAACGACGGTTATAGCGCGATTCACGTTCGATTATGGAAGATAATCAGAAAATAGTCAAACTGCTCGTAGAAGACAATGTTAACGTCGATACACTGGACAAGAATGAGCAGAACGTTGCACCCCTTGTCGATAGAGATAAAGAGTATTCCATTGCTGCGGATGAGATCTTAGAATTAGAATATTTTCGTAACAAGAACAAGGAAGACAATCTTAAAAATGCTGTATGTGGAAGCAGAAGAAAATGTAAATATATCGTTGATTCCTTTTTGAAATATGGATTCATTCTTAGTCCGCAGGATGCGAACGACTATCAATTATTAAGCTACGCTGTTGAAAAAGGGTTCTTGAAGGTTGTCGAGGCGTTATTGAAACTCGGTGCTGACGTTAATCAGCTGTACGAAAGCGGAAAATTTAATAAAAGACTGACACTTTTACATATTGCTGCATGGACCAAGCAGAAAGAGATGGCAAGATTATTAATAAATTACAAAGCTGATGTAAATGCGAAAGATGGTACTGACTATGTTCCCATGCATTACGTTGTTCGAAATGACGATTTGAAAATGTCGCGATTACTTCTGAGTAACAATGCCGAGATAAAAGATGAGCCTATATTGTTGTGCATCGCCATTGTAAACAAATGCAAACCAGTTATAGAACTTCTTTTACAATACGGTATCGATATTAATTGTAAAGACCAATTTGGAATGACAGCTTTACATACATGTGTTTATTATTGTGCAAATTACGAAATCCCTAAGCTTATGCTCAACGAACATGCTGAAATTGATTCAAAAACTAATACTGATGTAACGATGCTTGATGAAGGCGTTCGTGAAAGCAACATAGGTATCGTCGATATTCTGTTGAAATATAATGCGGATGTTAATTGCGCAGATGGAAACGGTGCAACACCGCTTCATTACTCTGCGAAGAATGGGACAATGGAAATTTGTAAACTACTCGTGAAGAAAAGTGCTAATGTGGACACGAAACAAAACGATGGATCAACGCCGCTTCATCTTGCTGCTAGGGAAGGTCACATGGACATTATCGAGGTTCTGTTGAATGCGGGTGCCGACATCAATTGTACAGATCTAAATGGTCATACCTCGCTTCATGAATGTGCTAGTCTTCGACGCATAGACGTCGCGAAATTTCTTTTGGATCATAATGCGGATATTAATTCGAAGAGTGTACAGGGTGACACACCGCTTCATTTATCTGCGATCAACTATAACGACGACATGTGCAAGTTACTCATATCGAATGGTGCCGATGTAAACAGCCAGGGAAACGATGGATCAACGCCGCTTCATCGTGCTGTTAAAAAAGGTGTCGTAAGTATCATCGAGATTCTGGTGAACTTTGGTGCTGATGTCCATTGCAGAGATCAATGTGGCAATACCGCGCTTCACCTTGCTTCAAAAAGAGGAGAATACGATGCCGTTTTGACTCTAATAAGACACGGTTCTGATATTAACATTCTTAACAAACAAAATTATACACCGTTACATTTCGCTCTATTTCTCAATAATAAAACAATTACCATTTTTGTAGAACACATAATAAAAATGATGACCGCTAACTTATACCTAAATCCTGTAATTATGTCTACATTTAATACTATCTATAATCCAGATACGATACAGTTAGAGGAGAAATGTAAGGAAGAGTTGGAGCGAATGACAAAAGCGAAAATTATAAACAACATTTCTCTTCGTGATATTCTAACTAAGAACAGAAGTCAGTTACTGCAGTATGTGAGGAACAAAGACATCATGCAGTATTTAAAACTAAATAATTACGAAGTAAAGTTTCCCCTTTATGCTAGTATCATAAACAATCGATTCANGTACAGGGTGACACACCGCTTCATTTATCTGCGATCAACTATAACGACGACATGTGCAAGTTACTCATATCGAATGGTGCCGATGTAAGCAGCCAGGGAAACGATGGATCAACGCCGCTTCATCGTGCTGTTAAAAAAGGTGTCGTAAGTATCATCGAGATTCTGGTGAACTTTGGTGCTGATGTCCATTGCAGAGATCAATGTGGCAATACCGCGCTTCACCTTGCTTCAAAAAGAGGAGAATACGATGCCGTTTTGACTCTAATAAGACACGGTTCTGATATTAACATTCTTAACAAACAAAATTATACACCGTTACATTTCGCTCTATTTCTCAATAATAAAACAATTACCATCTTTGTAGAACACATAATAAAAATGATGACCGCTAACTTATACCTAAATCCTGTAATTATGTCTGCATTTAATACTATCTATAATCCAGATACGATACAGTTCGAGGAGAAATGTAAGGAAGAGTTGGAGAGAATGACAAAAGCGAAAATTATAAACAACATTTCTCTTCGTGATATTCTAACTAAGAACAGAAGTCAGTTACTGCAGTATGTGAGGAACAAAGACATCATGCAGTATTTAAAACTAAATAATTACGCAGTAAAGTTTCCCCTTTATGCTAGTATCATAAACAATCGATTCATATCTGGTGTTGAAAGAATAAAGTTATTAGATGAGGGCGTTCGAGTATCCCACGATTTCTTCCGTGCTTTTTTGGTTAATAGGGCCTTACCTTATATTTGTATCGAACATATATTTGGCTACCTAAGTAATCATGATCTAAAGATTCTGATAGACGTTTGTACATATGTTAATTAGAGTTAAGAAATCTGAAACTTTGGAATACTTAACTAATGATCCTAATAAATAGTTATTCTCTACTTTGTCTACTAGTTACTAAGTTTCTATCCTTTGTTAATGTAGATGTAGTAATTAGTGTTAGAACCAATTCAATTTAAGACGATGAAGCACGTGTATACGAGACATTGTTGAATGCAGAAAGGATTTTTAATTAAATATGAGAAACAGCTCTACCTGATCCGTGATTCTGATTGTCTAATTTCTAAGAAAAAGTTTTCCAAAGCTGAGCTTCATACCGTTCAAAACGAATATCGTACTTCAACCAGTGACAGAGCTACACTCTTCCGAATTTCATTTTTGTATTTTCTGGATCTCAATAATTATTGAGCCCAGCAAAAAATTATTCATACAGAATTTGTAGATAAAGTTGTGGGACTCTAGTGCTTTACTAAACTGCAAGTGTAAATTCCTGCTCTTGGAACGTCCAAGCGTTCTGCTTCCGAGAGACTTGTATCATTGCAACAGACGACTTAAGAAAACTTAATTGAATTCATCTTTCAACTAGTAATTTGAACAATATGTATTCGAATCTGAGCAATAAGCCTTTTAAATTAAACAGTAATGAACTATTATTATCTGAACATGAATTGTTGATAAGTTTTAAAATACATCTGTTCGCGATTAAGGGTATACAGGAGTCAAACTAGTACCCCTGGCGGAAAAATGGATAGAAAAAAAATTTCTCTCCAAAAATNTACGTCTTGCCAAACCGGCGATTCACTACGTCTTAATTCGCGAGTCGAACTACTTTTTCGCGATGTTCGCACCGTGACAATCCGTCGTTGACTCAGGCGGAATCGACGTTCTAACGCTCGGACACCGACCTCGGCGCGTAGCGTAGAAGAGTCGCGCCGATCCGCTCTCTCACTCGCTCTTATTCCTTTTCCCACTCTGCATATCCAAATTTGAATTCTACGATCCGTTACCGGTCGGGCATTGACTTCGATCGCGGGAAGGCAACGATTCTCCGTGCTGTTTTTTGCCGCGCAATCCAGCGCGTGTCGCGATAAACACTCGCTCCGGAGGTCGTCGAACACCGATATGTTATTGTTCTCGCGGTTAGCTCGATTTCTACCTTCGGCGAAAAACCCCCAATCCGAAGGCCGTGCTAATGACCGAACCGCGAATCGAATTTACGAAATTAATATTCGATTTTTGAACAGTTTGGATTGCAAAATAGTTCCTCGATTATCGCGCTGGTATCGCGTAGCAGAGCCGTCCTTGGGAGTTACTAGGCCTCGTATCAATATTTATTGGCACTTTTCAGACACAATTACAAAAGAAATGTATCGTGAGCTAG